AGAGAGCCGAATTCCTGATTCTGTCCAGGACACAGCCCCAACGAGAGCGTCACCACCTTCGTGGAGGATGTTTTGCTTCTGATCGAGCACCCACGCCAACCTTGATGCTACAGAAGACAAGAAGCTAAGAATTCCATGTTCCTCATGTGAAGGACAACACCTTCAGCAGCCTTGTCCGCAACCCCACACAACAGTCGAAGGGTTCATATCAATAAAGCTTCCAGCATTGACTGTACACTGCAGGTCCGAGCATGTCACTATCAACAACTCCCCAGCGTTGCGACACGCGAGTCGTCCAGCTGCAACTTCGACGCCAGCCCCCCAGGCATCCGTGACATCATTCACAACGGTGTCCGGGAGGAGATAAGGAAGCTAGTTGCTGCCATCAGTTGCCCGGCTTTTATTTTGATCGCCGAGATTGTTTCAGAAGAAGTTAGACAGGCATTTCAACTGGAGACTTCTTCCAGCGAAGCGGCATCTGACGAAACGAGGGCGACTTATGCAACAAAGTCACAACGACCATCACCGGCTACCTGTTACTATTCAATGCCGATTCAACAAGACACCCCATCGCCGAAGCATTCCCAACATCGGGAAGAACCAGTGTAGGTCCGCGCTGAAGAGAGTACACCGAGGAAAACGGAGGTACTGCGAATGGCCGACGGAAAACCACTCTGCTACCACTGCATGAGGCCGACCATGTCTACTGGAGGTGCCCGTACCAATGAATTGGCGTGCAAGGGTTCCTGCCGAACGACCCTCGACCACGTCTCGACGAGCGTCCAGGGAAGATTAGGGATTATCTTCGGCGGTCTTTGCCCCTGGTGCCGACATGACCCCGAAGCTTGTGATCTACTTCATCTGGACGGGAGTTAAGCACAACAAAGCAGGTGAGAGGCAATGCAAGGAGAGTTGATCTGGTGTCGGTTGTCGTCCGAGGACAATACCTAATAATTTGCTGACACTAATTATCTGTGTCCACGCCACGAAGCACACAATTTCCAACTTTGAGGGAGAATACCGCTCAGTTACCTTAAGGAATAGATTGGTTGGTTGCTCTCAAAAGTGAACTGCAAGCATCACGAGACTTCACTTTGCCCCACAAGACTTGCACAAGCTGTAGTGGTCGTGGGATGCAGAATAAGTCTCCATTACGAAATAGAAGTGAAATGGCTTGGATAGCAAACAAACACTGCTGCCAGCTATCAAGTCAACGGTACAGCAAAAGGCACAGCCACATAACCAATACATGCCCGAGCTTGCTGCATTGATGCAGAAAACTACCAGGAAAATTTTGCGGATTACAAGCCAGCCCTGCAGCTTCAGTGCGCCAAATGTCAGTGGGCGCACACGACGTATGATTACAAGACGGCGTCAGTCGGTCAAAGTTGCTACTCGACCAAACTGAACACCGACGTGCCAGGAGCGTCATCCCACAACAAGGTCCACAGGTACTACGACTGAACGCCTGACAGGAGACTGTCGGAGAAAGAACTCGTTCTGGAACCATTAACTAAGAATAAATAATTATGTAATCCTGTGGAAATAAACATATTTGATACACTAACCAGATAAACCTATTTCCGCTTGCCTTTACGCCTTGAGAGTTTATACACCAAGACTTGTGTTCACCACACGCGCAGGTCCTTTTGAGGGCACTCGCATCTCTGACCCTTCAATATTAATTAATGGGACATACCAGACTGGCAGACTTGTTGCATTGGGCTGCACTCATTCCACTTCTCCTGAACACACCTCTGAGCATATGCTTTAATCATATGTGTTGATGCATTGTTATATAGCAGGACACTTCCTATACGTATGGCACAATAGACCCTTTGCGGAACCCCATCAAGCAACATAACTGTTACCATTTTTTTTTCGGCGTAAAGCACACAAATGGGCCCCAGTTCACGTCGAATGCTAATGCAGCATTCGAGTCCAATAGGCGCTGAGCCGAGTTCACAGTGATGGCGGGCGTAACATTCTTGTCGAACAAATGACCAAAGTATGAAAGCCTGGGGTAATTAGTAGTAGCTACTGTAATTCGTTTGATTACAATTTGGCAAACAGCAAAGGCTACAGTCTCGGTGAGCCAATATGCACGTTGGAGAGAGGCACATGACAACATGCCATTCAGAATGCTCGTCTGCACAGATTTGTCACACACCTTCGCTCTGTCTCTCTGATTGGCTCGAGGGGGCTGTGGCGGTTGCCCTTTTCCAGGTTACAATGATACGAAGTATAGACGCTTTACAGCAGCTGTGCATGGGCGCCGCCATAACCGCCCTTCAGTTTTTATTTTCGCTTATATTTTTCACTCTGCTCCATCATTACCACAGGAGGACAGGTTACTGGCATTTTAGATACGACGGTGTCTTTCCCCAGCATTTGCCTTTGTGGAGGCTTGCCAAAGCCCGCTTCAGTGGTTGGATATCTCGGTAAGACAGTAGAAGGTCGGCAATGACGTCTGTAATCGGGCGCGTGTGTAAAGCGTCTATAGGCAACCCCCACTTTTCAGAAAAGGCTATTGAAGAGACCGAAAGGAATGGTCAACATTTTTCAACAAGACTGTTCTTCAGGCAAGGGATGAACACAAATATGAATCATTTTGTCCAAGTAATTAGAACAAGTAAATAATTGACCGACTAATACAATGCAATATTGATAAAAAAAAGTATTGCTGCAATAAATCATACGAAAGAGAAAAAAGGTGCAGTTAATCTATGCCTACACCAAAACAGTTGTTCTTATTGCAAGTCGAATAGCTTTGAAGCAGGTGCCTGCAACGACTTATTCATCCCCACACTCAATAAAACGTCATCCTCGTAGCTGAAAATAAGTGTGCACTTCGCACTCACCAAAAAAGGAAGAAAAGCGATCGAATGCAGAATCGTCGATTAGCACAAAGGGTTACAGATCGCAGGAGCTTCCTAGTTAAAAGTTGCTATGGTTATTCGGTGACGCAGGCCTGAAAAAACTTCTCCTAGGCCCTAACGCGACGTATACCTTTCGCGTCGATTCTCAGACATTCCAACGTTCAAACAAAGCTAAGAGAATGCGAAAATTTTATGCTAAAACCACTCAAAGTTCTATCGATCCTCGAACAGATCCCGAATCCGAGCACCGGTACGGCGATACGGCTGATGCTGTCTCACAGGTATTAATATCCAGATGATCCAGAGCGATCTTGCGCAGAAAAGGTATAAAGTCTCATTCCTTCATATTTTCACATTATACCTGCGTCAGCGAGCACGAAAAAGCCCGAAATCGTCGGAAAGCCGCTGCACATCACGGCTGCCGCCGCACCGAACAAACTCGCATCCGCCAGCTCTGGGCGCTGCCATCTTACCTGTGACGTCACGGCTCTTGTTAGGTCACGTGACGAGTGGGCACATTTGCGTAAAAGATGGCGGCAACCGGGGGGGGGGGGTGCCACTTCGGAACTTCCGGTTTATCACTCTACGCCCGTCTACCTCGTTGGTTTAAACTCACCTCTTTAGGAATCATGGTTTCAGAGGTTCTGGGAATGAAAACACATATTCACGTTCCATGATGACTGATCGCGACCATCGCAGACTTTCAAGCGAGGGGCTCGTGCCAGCACTCGTGGTGTGCATGAACACCCGTTTTCTGCCCGAACACCTCGAACGGGGGATTCTTAACTTTCAGAGCCGTATTTTGAGAAAGTTTTGTCATTCATTGGGAGGTATAGGAGGAAAATGAGGAGGCGCCGTTGGCCGTGAGCTGGCTGAGCGGGCTGGGCACAAATTCGAATGTGACCAGCCAGAAGCCGCGATTATTGACCTGGCGGTGGTCGCAAGAAACAAAATTAATAAGTGCGTCAAAGTACCTCTCGGTGATTGAAAATATGGTGCACGGGATTCTTCGATCACGGTCATGCAAAATCGAATTATAGGAGAATGATCGACGTGATTCATGCGCCAGGCGCCGAGGGTCGAGAAAATGCCGTCCGAGCGGTCACTCCGACCGAGCAAAAGAGAGTTCGAGCGGCACATTCGATTCTTAAACCTTTTTACATAATCATAATCGGAACTTCACGTCTACTATATTTTCAACCGTGAAGAGTTACTCCATTTAACTTTTATGCAACTATTAAACTTTTCTCTCGCTACTACCGCTGGGGGATTCTTTTCGACTTCTGGTTGGCCATGAGAGCACGTCCCGCTTCCTATCTGCGTGCCGTGCGCGCCCTGGCTCTGCCCGCTCCTCCCTTTAACCAAACTCTCGCCATATATATACTGCTCTGGCAACTTTCAGCGATGGTGGTACCACGGAGTGAGAATCGCGCTCCCTAAATCCTCGATGATTGACTTCACAATAAATATGCTGTACTACAACTTCCTCGCGTAAAACAAAAACATTAAAGTTTAAATACTGCTCGCATAAAGCAAAAGTGTAATTACTTACGATTATCCAGGTGACAGCCATTTGATAGGCGCCAGTGCGCCCCGTATAGGTCGTGAAGGTTGCGAATTCTCTAAAAAGGTGATTTCCGTGTTTCTAAGTAAATGTTGTTTAATGCTGAATTTGAACACTTGAACCCGAGTACGCGCCGAACGCTGCCGCCGAACTCGTTTCCAATACATGCTCAAAGTTCATGCCCACAATATGCCGGCCGGCTCTGATATCTATGCAGGAGGGCGCCCCCTTTTCAAAAAGGTCCATTGCCAGATCTCTAAAAATTGTGAAACTTTGTGTGTATACTTAGTCTTAGCAGATTGGATAGCAAGACAGGTCTAACCTCTCTACGGTTCGTATCATTGACCCTTTGAGTAGGGAAGAGAACATCTCGTTCCCTAATTCGACGGCCTTCTTGGGCAAAACGGCGCGCTTACTGCTCTTTACGTTGCTTTTTTTCATTTAGCATGCAGCTGAAAGGCGTACAACACACCAAAATAAGGCGCACGAGGCTTAGTATATATTTACTTTAGGTTGGAGTGCCTTATCAAAACGTGTATTGTTTTGTTTTTCTCCAGAATAAGAATCGGGACCGCCAACATAGTGGCCCTGAACAGTTACGAGTCCATCAAGAGGGGTCTGTCCAACAACGCCGTACAGGCCCGTTACCGCAGCGTGTTCCTGGAACAAACCAAGTCGCCAGGTACGTCTTCTCCCCACACCAATCGTTGCGCATTCGATGAGAGGTTTACTGTGCTCTGTCAGCAACAGAAAACCCTAGTGGTGAACTTTATTCGTCTCCTACCAAGGGCAGCGCGATGCCTCTTATTGAACACGAGTGCTACGTCAGAGTTCGGCTGGAACTCGCTTTCAATCATTCAAAACGCAAGTCCCACCGAACGCTGACACAGCACTCGTATCTATTATGTGGCCCTGGTTGCTCTTCTGTAGGACAACCCGAAATTTGAGCACCACGGCTTCCTATCTTGGTGGTGTTGGATCAATGGAATTCTTCGGGAAATCTGTGGCTTATACTACAGTGCCTTAGAAGTTGGGTAGTGGGCTCATCACCGTACCTCCCCCGTGTATTGCTCTGAAGCGGCCGATGTCGAAAACGCCGGAGGCGCAGCAGTAGATTCCTCCTGAAACTTCTCTTGCCCTCTGCCCGCGATTGGTAAGAGCCGCCTAGCCGACCTGGTCTCGCCTATGCGCGCTGGAAAGTTTCAAGAGGAAACGCTTATAGCGCCACCGCCGAGTCGACATCAAGCGCGTCAGGCCGAGCCGTCCCGTGAGCCCAAAACTCTCTAGGCCACTGTACTATTACGAGGGTATGTCAACAGCCTAGTTTCAAAAATTCCTTCACGCAACACTGCTCGGGTTGCGTCATGGGACCGGGTTGGCCATGGAGAGAAGTGCCACGGTATTGCTTCCGATCGCCCCGTTGCGGAACTCGTGCATCTCAGCGCTGCATGAAAATGAAGAGCATGCTTGCATTGCATAAAATTCATCTTCTTGAAAGCACCCGTTCAAAGACGAACCTCCAATCGTAGGTAAGGGACTCTCTACGCTTAGCGAAGAGTACGCTTACGGGCTGCCGCGTCTCATATCTTTGTGGCGGCCTGGCTACCTCTCCAGAGTGCATCATGACCCTCACGGCTCACGGATAGTTTAAGAAGCCTTGGGAATTCAGGAGTCAAAACACCAGCATGACAGGCCCACTATACATACTTCATGTGGAATTGTCGTCCTGAGTTTACCTGCGCACAATCTCCGGCACGTTCGGGAGCCCGAATAAACGTTTCCCAGCATTTCATCTGTATAGGTAGGCACAACCTACAGTAATATAATATTATAAGAAGGGGCATATTTGAAGCCGCAACATCCGTATTTTGCGCAGACGTGACGTCGTGAAGTGAGGTTGGCCAGTCGAAATCGAAACTCAGCGGCGAACTGGTGCCGGCGATTAAGCCACTAGAATCGCTTCGATTCTGAATGAGGTCCATTATGAGGCGCACTCCTCGAATCAGTCTCTCTTAGCGCTAAGTAGTTAACAGGGACAAAGGTCCTTCTGTCCTGCCCTTTCCCTTCCTGTTCTGTTCTTTCATAATATGAACAGAGACATTGCCGCAGAGGTTCAGCACTAACCAGTCGGCGCTGCCACACTTTGCATGACAGTATCATTTCGTTTAGCACACTTCGGACGATAAAAACAGAAACACCATCCCGCGACGTCTAAGGTGTCACAACCTTAAATTTCTGGAAGACAAGATACACCCTCGAACGTTGCATGCCACCAAAAGTAACACTTCCGTAGTGCTGAATTTTAGCCGTCACTTTATGGGGTGTCCACTTCCGCCTTCGCCCCATCAGGCCCTGCCTCACCGCCCCAAAACAGGTTATACAACCCAAGGTACATAGGACTCTACGGTTTCACAGTTAGACGAGCTATAGGTAACGCCTCGTCCTTTCACCGTTTCGTTGCCGACCATCCTCGAGCTCGCCGACCGAGCTTTCTCCCGTGCCATGCTCATCTTCTTCTCCCTTGGCTCCAACGGGCCCATGTCCGGTGACTGCGGGCCCACGTCCGGCAACTCCGGTGGGGAGGGGAGAGGGTCAAGACTCAAGAGGACGGGGATTCTTCTGGGCCTTCGAAGAGGCAGTTATCGGGCTTAGACATGGGAGCGTTCTCGACGGCCACTGGCGGAGCGACGGGCGTGGGGCAGGCCTCAGACGGACGTTGACGGGAGCTGTGCGGTGACAGCTGCTGGGCTTTGGTCGGGCTTGGTGGCGGCGGCGTGTCCCCCAGAAGGTCAAATGAGGCCCCAGGCCTCGGATCCGAGCAGTTCGGACCTGTCTCGTCGGAGCAGCTTAACTGCGGCCTCTGTGTTGACATGGGGAGGCAGCGTCTTCAGCAGACCCTGTTGCAAAGCCTCCGGTTTTGTGAGTCTCTGACTGTACGAGGGGTATGCAGCACAGCTAGCAGCTATTCTCAGGGTCCAGAGGGCGCCTCCAGAGGAGGCAGTGTATGCCCTCAGAAGGACGACGGGATGGTCTCGCGGGACTGCGCTGTCTCCGGTCAGTGGTCTCTGTTGGTATTTCTACTGCCGTCGAGAGACGAAGTGGTCTGCACCCAGTTGCTCGGCCGCCGTCCTCATGGCCATCACGTGGCAGGGGGGGGGGGCGGTTCTGAGCTGAACTTCCCGCCGCGGATCGGGTTGACCACTTCCGCGGAAGGTTCGCTAAGGCGGGGACAGATAGACCTGCTCCTGCTGTGCTCGGTAGGCGGCTCTTTCGGTACCCACCGCCTCCACTACAGTGCCTCCTGCGGGGTGGCCGCCTCCTTGGTTGGGTGCCCTGCGAGGCGGACCACCGGAATCCAGGATGGCCGTCCTGACTGACTGGAAAGGCCGTGGCGTACACGCTCTATTCAAGCGTGCTCTGTAGTGGTCACAGATAGCCACTGTGAAGATGTGCGGAGAAACAGGGAAAGTTAAGAAAAGGGATAGAGCCTCCGACGGCCTGTGACGAAATGGAAAGGCTTACATAGCGTGGCGCGCAGGACAATGAGAAGCCGGTGGCCCAGGATCATTGGGCACACCGACTAACGAACAACACGTCAGACCAAGTCGGAGGTAGAAACGGACTGCTGTATTTTCAGCAAATAGCGCAATGCTCGGGCTCGGTGACCGCAAGCCCACCGCACGCCAACGTGGCACGCCAACGAGCACTCCACTTGCTGTGCTAATCTATCAACGTGACAAAACTACAGGCTCCCCTTCCTCTGTGGGGCCGTTCATGAGCGGCTCCTTGTCGAACTGCTCATGGACTGCAAGTGTCGTTCCAGGCGGGCATTTTCTGGGTTAGAACACTGTCAAAGCGGCGCAAACTCATTGCACTCTGCGCTACCCGCTCTTGCGAAAGCCTGAGCTGCTCTCACCATTCTCACGAACCGGTTGACCACCGCGCCTGGTTTGTGCTTGGAGCCGTGCGCAAGGCGTCCTTAAAGTGGGACGCATTAAGGACGCCTCTATGCTGCACGGCGAGAACAAGCGGGATCAAGGAACAGCTACGACACCGTCTGCTGATATTGGTCAGCGTTACGGCGCTGACCAATCGCAGCAGACGACATTGTCCCAGTCCCTCGGTTCCGCTTGGTCCGGTCGTGCAGCATAGGGCCATGGGCGAGAAGGACATAACCCTACAAATTCTGCGACGAGAACGTGTCCAGACTGCTCCTTTGTATTAAGCCGAGCGAGACCGTAGGTAAGACGCGACACTTGCGTCGTTCTCTAGCCGGGTCTTAGCCCTTCCCACTTCGGAGCGATGGCACGCAGTGAAACCGCAAGCGGCGCTGCTCAGTGGGTGGCTTTTTCCGTTAGACCAAGCCCCCACATTGCATTCCAGGAGACGATGACTCTAACCGCAACGCGCCGTCTGCTCGATCCTTTCAGGATTGACATCTTACGGCAGTGGTCCAATGATTTTGCAGACGACCACTTACAATAGGTGGTACCTCATCATTGGCTGCAACATACCCGGAGGCTTCCCGCCTCTCGGCTTTGCTTTCTGGCAGAGTGGACATCAACGAGTGTACCGGAAGCTATCCCGCCTCCCGCCAGGTCGTAGTGCAACATACCTTATATTTAGTATTGCTGCAACTGCTATGAGCAGTCACAGCGAAGTCGTGAAAGTATCCAATGAACCTCTTCCGTTGCAAATCAGGACCTTGAAGATAGTCTATTACCCTCTTCATCGATCGTTGGACTGTAGCGAAGCAACAAGCGGTCTTTGTTCAGCAGATATAAATCCAACTGCTCATTAACTTTTTACTAGCGTACCCGGTGTTCAGCAGATATAAATCCAACTGCTCATTAACTTTTTACTAGCGTACCCGGTGTTAACTGCAATCTCCACAAGTTTTCCCAACAACCGCTGACAAAGTCCGTCTGAGTTTTGGGCCTCAACAAGCTTTTCCGTGCTTACCATTTCACCCGAAGTTACGATACTCTGCTACATCGTGCAGAATCCTAAATCTGCTACGATACCCGATCTGGGCGTTTGCGGTCTGTCCTGTCCAAGTGCAGCCGGGGTCCAAGGTGTTCTCGGTTAGTGAAGGGGGCCTATATACGCACACGGGTTCTGTAGGAAATCGTGGACCGATTTTATATCAGAGTATCTGGAATATATTCGGGCCGGGACGTTCAACCGCGGTCGGGGCACAGACGTAGCCCCGGCATTCCCGGCACCCACTGAAGCGTCTCGAACCTAGCTGTCATGGCACGCATGGGCTCACCGACGTCTCCCATTCACGTCAACCACCAGAGCTGGAGTCCCAGGCTCTGAAAGCATTCGGGAGGCCATGGTTTCGCTCATCAGAACACGTCCGGCGGCGTCCGACCCTCACAGATCCTCGCTCTTGGATGAAGCGCCCCGATTCCCGGTCACGCTCGGCCTCGTATCAGCAGTATCAGCAGGCAACGTTTGCTGTCACGATAACCAGCGTTCAGTGATTTGGGCGTGCCGTTCCTCCAAAAAGAATCGAGGAACGCGTCGCGTGTGGTCTCCAAGGGACGACCGAAATCGAGGGCCAGCTGAGCAGCCCCCACGTTCGAGCGCCATATAATGTGGGGTGTCTACTTTAGCTTACGCCCGATCATATCCTGCCTCGACTGTCCCGAAGGAGATCACACAGCACAAGGTACA